GGGAGCGCCCAGCCTGCCTGGCCTACATTTAGGAAGGGGGGAATAAAGAAGGAAAAAAGGGCAGGATTTTCTCTGCAGGCAACCCACAAAGCCTGAGGCCGGGCTGAAGGAAGAGGTGGCGGCGGCAGCGCTTTCTCCCTTGGGATCACGCGATCACATCTGGAGGGAATGCAGGAGGATCTCCCAGAGCCCGACCAGGGTCTTTCCAGCTGCGGAGAAGGGAACCAGAGCTGAGCAGAGCCTCCGTCTGGCCCGCCGCAGCTCAGAACCTTCGACGGTGCTGATTTCCACACTCCACCCGTCAGCGCGCCTCACTCTTCCCAGGCATAGTGAATGCCATTTTCATTCCCTGGTGTCCGTTTGCTCCCCTCACTGAGCAGCCGGCCAGGGAATGGGCTGTATGAGCCACCCTTCACCTGGAAAGGAGCCAGAGACAAGCCCGAGAGAAGGAAGCCACAGGACGGACTTCGTTCTTCCTACCATCCCTTAATCCCGCCAGCAGGTCCTCCCAGAAACGGCTGGAAGTTCTGATCCCTCCACAGAAGTTTCCCGTCCCTCCACTGCCCTCCTTCTATGAGGGCGCTGGTTAAAGTTTGGAGGAGTTTCCCACCCCGCTTTATTATTTTTGGGGGAGGGGATTTACCAGGAACGGTGCCTCTCCCCGGGATGACCAGAAGGGATCCCCTTCTTCAAACAGAGCCCCTGAGGTCGGCTATTCGGACAGCTCCCCGTCCGATCCAAGTGAGCCTCTCTCAGCCCCAATCCTCACTTCTTCTGAATCAAGGGACACTTTCAGGGCAGCCTTGCACCAGAAGAGCCCCCCTGATTCTCTTGCCCTGCACCTCCTCCTTTTAGTCTTCCACCTCACCGGCTGCCAGGCTCCTGGTGGGCCTGCCCCGCCTCAGCAGCCTCAGCCTGCCCCCGCCACCCCAATCTCTACTTCAGCCCCAGCACTGCCACCAACACTGCTGTGAGAAGGTACCCCAAGCCTTTTTGCCAAGCTGCCCGGCAGGACGCCTATCTTTTGGGCGGGGCTGGAGGGGAGGCCGCAGTGCCTTTGCACTTTGCAGAAGCTCGCTGTAGGCAGGGGGGAGGAGGCGCGTGTGTTTGCATTTTGGAGGAGGCAGGGGGAACATAGCACCCATTTGCGCTTTGCAGAAGCTCGCTGTAGGCAGGGGAGAAGAGGCGCGCGTGTTTGAACTTTGGAGGAGGCGGGGAACGTAGCACCCATTTGTGCTTTGCAGAAGCTCGCTGTAGGCAGGGGGAGGAGGAACATGTTTGCAATTTGGGGAAAGGGAGAGAGAGAAAGGAAAGAGGGGAGGGAGGAGGAAGGAGATGGGAATGAGAAAGGGTGACAGGCAAGGAAGGAAGGAAGGAGATGGGAATGAGAAGGAAGGAGGCACCTGACCCTGGGGATGCTGCAAAGATCAGAAGTGAAAAATGGTCATAAGCCACTTTATTGCCTTTGTAACTTCAAGCAGTCTCTAAGTTAACTGTTGTAAGTTGAGGACTACTGTACTTTATCACTTTTTTCTTTTCTGGGTGGGGTCATCAAGTTTTTGACACCTTGCTAGGGGATTGGAAAAACCCTGAGTTAGAGTACTTGGATTGCAGCTGCTTTCTTGCAGGTATGTGGAATGGCGTGTAACCCACAGGTTTTACAAAGTTAAATGAGAAAGTTGGTTACAGCTTATTAGGAAAGATAAAATAAACCAAGAATGGTTTATTGACCATTCTTCGTCCAGATTTTATATCAGTTGCATCTGCTAGTACAGGCATTCTGCTTCAGATTTCTGTTATTTTCAGCATCTGGCAAAAGGAATGAGTACTTTTCCAACAACCTATAAAATCCAAGACACTGTGCTTTCATTGTTTAATTCCCCCCTCATACAGTACTGGCCAAAATTGTGGAAACCTTTTGGGAAAAGTGTACAGTAGAAATGCCACCTTTGGTTAAGTTTCCAGCAATTTTTCTTCTAACTTCTTTATAACTGTAACCTTGTTCGCTTAATAATGCTATTTTACATCACTTTCTGGGTGATCAGTCAACTCTTTGCACCATTACTTTAATTTTATTTCGTTTTACAAGCTCACTAAATGAAAGAACACAAAAAACCTAACCAACCTGATAGCGATTACATAACACACTGACAAATGTCCTCTTCTCAACTTCAATACATGACATCAATAACTGACTCCTACTGTGATCTTGTAAAACAAAATAAAATTAAAGTAATGGTGCCTCCTGCCCACTGCCCCACCCACAGAGACCCTCTGGATCTCCCCTGCCTGGCCCCCACAGGCATCCCTCCTCAGGAGCAAAATTGAGGTGACCACACCCACCCTGGCCACGCCCACCCATACTGCCATGACTACCATAGCCACACCCACTCGTTGGCCAAGCCCACTTGGCCACACCTGCGCGGCACTCGGCGATGCATAAGTGGGTTTCAAGTTGCAGTTTGGGCACTCGGTCTCTAAAAGGTTTGCCACCACTGGTCTAGTAGCTTCTTAGTTGCCATGACTCAACTTCCAGACAACTGTACTGCGAATCTTCATTGACATATTGCCAAACACCAGTGTAATGAAAAACTGCTAGTCCAGTGATGGCGAACCTTTTAGAGACTGAGTGCACAAACTGCAACCCAAAACCCACTTATTTATCACTAGGTGCCAGGTGGGCGTGGCCCACTGGGTGGGTGTGGTCAGGGCAGAATGGGTGGGTGTGGCCAAAGTGGGCATGGTCACCTCGATGTTGTTCGTGGGCAGGGATTCCTGTGGGAGCCTGGCAGGGTTGGGGGAGATCCAGAGGGCCTCTGGTGGGCAGGGCGGTGGGTAGGAGTTTGTCCTGTGGGGTGAGGGGAGCGAGGCAGGGCAGGGTTGCCATTGCCATGGGGCAAGGCATGGCAGGGGCCAGGGCAGCTGCTGTCTGACACCATCGGCCCCCGCACACAGAGGCCAGCAAATGCATGGGGGCCGATGGTGTCCGTCAGCAGCACAGCACTCTGGGGCTCTGCAGCCCAGTGTCAGCAGTTCAGAGAAGCTGCCTCTGACCTCAACGGCTGGCTGACAGCTGAGGAGGTGAGGCAGTGGGTCGTGCCTGGGAAAAGGAGAGCATACGAGGCTAGGAAGGACGGGACGAGGGGAGGGAAACCAGACGTGTTGGGATGCATCTGGCCATGTGGGACCTCGGCAAGTTAGCGGGTGGCTGATTGAAGAGGGACAGTTGCTATCTCCAGGGCATGGCGCCCATGCCCACAGAGAGACCTCTGAGTACCGCCTCTGGTACACGTGCCATAGGTTCACCACCACTGTGCTAGTCAAATATTATTTTCTCATTTAAAACATATAATCACTTCTCAAGATAACTGCTTTAAGCAACTTGAATCCATACTAAGAGATTTTTAGGACTGTATTTATAGTTATAGTTAAAAAATAAAGATGCATTATAGCCAAATAAACTTTTATACAACAATATAAAATGTTAAAATTGTTATGCTTGTTATATTGTAAATTATGAAATAGCATAATTTTTCATAACTAGCTTTCAATATTTCATTAGTTGCTTCTGATATGTTAAGTCAATCAGTTGAGAGTAAGATATAAGGTGCTGTATATCATTAACACTAACTGAAATTACATAGAAATTGTTGAGAAAAAACACCATGAAATCAAGGCAGTAATTCATGACACAAGGAAAATGCCCATAGCTAATGCATTTCGTCTTTTACACTGCCTTTGTAAATGTAAATGACTTTTTTGGCATCATGTCCAGCTTAGTAAAGTGTAATTAGCATCTTGAATTGGATGGGTTTTTGAATTTCCAAATAATTTTGTAAATTTTGACAAATGGTAGGAAATCTTAGAAAGAGGAAATACAAGAAAGGGTAAATGAAAAAGAGACTCAACTGCATCTTCTGTATTTTGAGATTTTGTCTGTATTAAATCATATTAAACTTGCTTTGAACATTTTCTCCAGGTTTCATTGATCGGAAAATGTTTGAAGAACCTTGTATATGAACATTATTCATTTTGACAGTTTTAATATATGTGCTTTGATAGTGACAATAAAAACACCTCTAGCTAAACCTAATACTTGGAGGTTATAATTTGAAACAAACAACCTAAAATAGTTTACCAGCAGATACAAAACCATTATGTAAGCTTTCATTTAGTTTGAGAGGGGAGATCCCTTCAGTTGTGGAATGGGATGTTTAGGCACCAACCCTTGGCCTCAAAGCAATCTCGGACAGCCTTTTAAAAAAACCCTGTGGAGCGGCAGCTTTCCATTTTGATCCCTCTCCCTATTGTTGCCTCGGCGCCTGGACTCCAGACTAATGTGAACAGGTAGTCAGCTGCCTCCTTCCCCACCCCGCACCTAGTCCTCCCAGTTTGATGCCAAATGGGCAGTTTGGCTGCCTCCCCACCACGCGCCATCACTGTTCACCCTCTTGCAATGCCAGCAGCCACGCACCATCACTGTTCACCCCCACGACACCAGCAGCCGCATGCCATCACCATTCGCCCCCCTGCAATGCTAGCAGTCGCATACCACCGCAGCTCTTGCTCTCTCCCCCAGCTTGCCACTGATCATATTGCATGCTGCCCCTCCCACAGCTCCCACAGCTCCCTCAGTCACCCCCCAGTGCCATCGCTGCCTCCCATCACCTGGTTGGTTGGGGGCTGTTTGTTCCGTGCAACCAAAGGCCAGGTCAAATGGTTTCTGGGCAAATGGACAGGTGGAGGTCCAGGGAGAATGACCGGGGGAAGGCCAGCTGAGGAGAAAAGCTGGCTGTAAATCAGGTGAGGCGGGTAGCTGGGGGCAAAGGAGGCGTGTCCAAGGGTGGTGTCTAAATATCCTAGACCCCTTCAATTGTGCCAGTCCCAAAGCAAAAGTATTTTCTAACTTTAATAAATAAAATTCTGCAATTAGATATGGGGTACAATTTTTAAGAAAGTTGTGCTCCTCCCTTCACTAACCTGAATCTTTTCAAATTCAGGTAACAAGCATGTTCATGGAAATGACTTATCAGCGTCTACAGGTACTTGCAATTTCTGATTGCCTACATTCCACATGTAGATAATATACTTAAATTGAGAGGTAGGCAGCATTTTATTTGTATTTATTTAAGTGTAAGTTACTTATGTGTGAATGTGCAATGCATTTTAAGAGATCATTGTTACACCAATTTCTATATGTTTAAGGAAACGTTTAACCTCAACTGAAAACACATTCTTTCCATAAGAACTATATTTTAATAAAATTGCTTTACAAACAGTAACTGTGTATTCATACTGAAGGCTTTAAATTCTGCACATTGTAATAATAATAGCATCTACGATAAATATACCTGAATTTTACAAACAGAGAAGAGGATTCACTAAAGTGATCTTGACAGTTTGATTTCATTCAAGTAGAATTAATATAAAAATTAGCAAAAAAAAAAAGTAACCACATCATTTTGACTTTCGCCATTAGTTACATCAATATCGATGCATTAGGAGTGAAGTCTTGATGCTTTGCCTACCACCCATAATAACTGTTATTCACAATGATTTCCCACTTATTTTATCTTAATCTAATTTAGCATTAAAATATGAAATTGCTGTACATTTTAAGGCCACAGAGCTCTACAAGGAAGCTTTCTTGAAACAAGAAGAAAATTTAGGGAGATTATTTCATATCATTTCATTAATGGAATTTTTGTATGCTTTACTACTTTAAAGTATTACTGCTACATAGATATGTATTATCTAGGGAAGTGCCACTATTAGCATAAGAATGCCACTAAGTAAATATTTAGCCTTATGTTATAATGCTACAATGATAACTTTTGTCAATCAGAATAGAGCTGGAAGAGACCTTGGAGGTCTTCTAGTCCAACCCACTGCTCAAGCAGGAGACCCTATACCAGTGGTGGCGAACCTATGGCACGTATGCCAGAGGCGGCACTCGGAGCCCTCTCTGTGGGCACACATGCCTCCCCAGCCTCGCTTCCCCCCAACACCCCTTCCTCACCAGCAGCCCCCCGGAGCGTGGCCCACACGGAGCAGCACAGCCAAGGACATGGCAGCCAGGCAGCATAGACAAGACTCTGCCCTCACGCCCCATCCTGCATAATTGATGCTGCGAGGCATGGGCAGACGGCGTGACCGCCATGGCACTGCTGGGCTGCCTGGGCGATCTGCGGTGGGCTCTGGAGGCAGTGAGTGGCCATGCAGGCAGGTGGGGTGGGGGCGGGGCAGGGCAGGGCAGGGCAGGGCAGGGGGTGGAGCGGGGGCGGGGCCAGTTTTTGGGCACTCGGTCTCTAAAAGGTTTACCATCACTGCCCTGTACCATTTCAGATAGGTGATTGTCTGGTCTTTTCTTAAGAACTTCCAGTGATGAAGCTACCTAGAACTTCTGAAGGCAAGCTGTTTCACTGGTTATTTGTCCTCACTGTTAGGAAGTTTCTCCTTAATTCCAGGTTGCTTCTCTCCTTGATTAATTTCCACCCATTGTTTCTTGTCTTCTCTTCTGATGCTTTGGAAAATAAGTTGACCCCTTCTTCTTTGTGGCAGCCCCTCAAATACTGGAATACTGCTAATGTCCCTCCTAGTCCTTCTTTTCTCTAAACTGGCCATACCCAATTCCTGCAACAGTTCTTCATATGTTTTTGTCTCCAGGCCCTTAATTATCTTAGTTGGTCTTCTTCGCACTTTTTCCAAAGTCTCAACATCTTTTTTGTAATGTGACGAAAACTGGATGCAGTATTCCAGGTGTGATCTTACTAAGAATTTATAAAATGATACTAATACTTCATGTGATGTTGATTCTATGCCTCTGTTTATACAACCAAGGATTGTATTAGCTTTTTTGGCTGCTGTTGCACACTGCTGGCTTATGTTTAAGTGATCATCCACTAGGACTCCAAGGTCCCTCTCACAGTTACTGGTTTTGAGACAGGTTTCACCTAATCTGTACTTGTACCTAATCTGTACTTGTACCTTTGTACTTTGTACCTACCTAAGTGTAAAATATTGCTTTTCTCCACATTAACTCTCATTTTGTTGGATAGGGCCCACTGTTCAAGTTTGTCAAGATCTTTTTGGATCCTGAGTTTGTCTTCTGGGTGTTGGCTATTCCTGCCAGCTTAGTGTCAATTGCAAATTTGATGAGTTCCCCTTCTTTTCTCTCATCTAAGTCATTTATGAAGATATTGAAGAGTACTGGGCCTAAGATGGAACCTTGTGGTACCACACTGCTTACTTCCCTCCATGTAGATGTAGTACCATTAAGGACTACACATTGAGTACTTTTTGTCAGCCAGTTACAAATCCATCTGGTAGTGATGCTGTCCATCCCACATTTTTCTAGTTTACCAAGAAATAGGCTGTGGTCTACTTTGTCAAAAGACTTGCTGAAGTGTAAGTATGTCCACAGCATTTCACTGGTCTGTTAATTTAATCACTTTGTCAAAGAATGAAATAATATTAGTTTGGCATGATCTGTTTTTAACAAACCTGTGCTGGCTACTAGTTACAACTTTATTTGTTTCTAGATGTTCACAGAACTGTTTTTTGATTATTTTTTCCAGTATCTTCCCAGGTATTGATGTTAGGCTGATTGTTCTGTAGTTTCCTGAGTCTGTTTTTCCTTTTTTGAAGATGGGAACCACATCAGCATTTTTCCAAACCTCTGGTAGTTCCCCAGTGTTCCAGGATTTTTGAAAGATATGGTACAATGGTTCTGAGATAACATCTATCAGCTCCTTCAGAACTCTGGGATGTAATCCATTATGTCCAAGTGATTTATATTGATCAAGGTCAGACAGGTGTTCTCTTACCATTTTCTTTCATATTTTAATTTTTATTTCCAGTCTGTCTTTTATAGTTATGTTTTGGTAGGTTGGGCTATAGTTTCTTTTTGCGTAAAGACTGATGCAAATAATTAGTTAAGCAGCTCTGCTTTCTCCCTACTGCCTGTTACTTTCTTACCATTTTCTCTTTTTTAGTGGACTGACTGTTTCCTTGACCTTATTCTTGTTATATGTTGAAAGAAACTTTTTTTTTATTATCTTTGACTTTTGTTGCAAGTCTTTCTTCATTCTGAGCCTTTGCTTTCCTGACTTCATCTTCGGACTGTCTGCTGATATTCTGCTTAGTTATGTGTCTCTCTTTTCATTTTTTATACTTATCTTTTTTGTCTTTCACTTTATCACAGAGATCTTTGTGATACATGCTGGTTTCTTCTCAGATTTCTTATCCTTTTTCAGTGGTATTGTGTTGGACTGGGCTTTTATGATCATACTGAGTGTTTCCCATGCTTCTTGAGTTGTATTCTCCTTTAGAATTTTTATCCATGGAATTTTTCTTAGGCTCTCTCTGAGTTTGTTAAAATCAGTTCTTTTAAAGTTTAAGACACTGGTTGGATTATATTCTATTTCTTATGTTTGCATTATATTAAATTCCAATATGATGGGGTCACTCTTGCCCAAGGTTCTGGCAACTTGAACTCCCTCTATCATTTCTTCTCTATTAGTAAGAATTAGGTCCAATATAGCTTTTCCTCAATCCCTCCTTTTAAGCTACTTTAAGTAGAATGTTAAGGTGTGTTTTTTAATGGAAATATTTTCTTTATCTAAATTATTAGTAGCAATAGCATTTAGGCTTATATACTGCCCCATAGTGCTTTATAGCACTCTCTGGGCAGTTTACAGTGAAAGCATTATTTGCATATTGCCCCAAACAATCTGGCTCCTCATTTTACCAACCTTGGAAGGATACAAGGCCACAGTCTTGAACCCGGACAGGATGGAACTACAGCCTGTGGGCAGAGTTTGTCTGCAATACTGCACTTTAACCACTGAGCCACTAGGGCTCTATCTATCATATGTGGATAGGGATTTTAACTTAACTGATTTTCAGTTTTACCATTATGCATATATTTTAACTTTAGTTTTTTCAGTGGTATGCAAATGATAAAAAAAAGCTCCCAGTTGGGCACAATTAGAAAGTTATATGACCCCTTTCACTTCATAGCAGGGGGATATCTTCACTTTCAGCAGTAACACTGCTCTATTTCTTGTTTAAAGGCTATGGATATTAGCATATATGAAGTAGTATTCACTTAGCAATGGTGATTGGAACTGGCAACTCTGTTGCTAAGTGATGCATTAAAGTACATCACATGACCATGCCAACTTAAAACAGCAGTTATGACAGTCACAGTTGCTGCCGTTAGATGATTCCTGCATATTCACAGCATCTCAGGACCATGTGATTGGCATTTGCAACCCCCTGTCTGCTTTCCCACAGATTTTACTTGTTGGATGCAGGCAGTGAAGGTGATCACGTGACTGCAGGACATTGCAGTGTCATAATTGTGAGCCTTTTGCCAAGTACCCAGCGTGTGATCATCTGACAAGGGTGATATGACTGTCCAGCTATAGCCACCCTCAGTCACCTTTGTTCAGGCTCTTGTAATTTTGAAAAGTCACTGAACGAATGGCCATTTATCAAAAGACTTAAAGTATCTTTTTAATGCATGAGATGAGACTCAATAAAAGATTTTGTTTTATGTTTGCTGAGTATAAATGGGTTCTTAATATTTTTGTCTTAGAGAAAAACACTCATTTAAACTACATGTTAGGTAAAAGGATTTTTGATTGCTGCATAAAACATACAAGATAGCATTATTTTCACCATATTTTTCTTATAATTTGGTTAAAGAACAAAAAGCTTTTAAAACACTTCTGTAGTTACCATGCTTTATCCGTAAGAGTTATTAATTATTGCTTCTGGCTTTTTTAAATATTAGGCCTTGCAAGTTGAAATTTAACTTGCTTAAAAGCCAAAATATTTCAATAAGTAAATCACTGTTGTTAACCAATGAAATTCATGAAACCTGTCTCTAAGTTTAAATTAGCATTTTTGACAGAAGATGTCACTGAAGGAAGAACAAAAATTCATCTTTAATTTCAAAAATATATTTCAAGATGTCTTTCTTTTGATAGCTATCAAGCCTGGAAGTACAGATAGTCCTAAAGTTACAAATGTAGAG